TTTAGATTATCAAACACAAATTTGTCAGTAACTTAAACAAGTATTTTAAACGGCAATAGAAAGCACAGAAGTGAAACTTCAGTTATCTACTTTGAGCCACTAGGTGCACAATACAACTGGCTTAATTGGGTTTTTGTTCATTACATGTGTTGAAAGCACCAGTGTATGTTCTCAAGCGCAATGATTGGGTTGTTGAAGAGTTAATTTACAACTAATTCATTGAGAACTTTATGGTCAAAGTACAAGTCAAATTAATTTATCACATCATGTGTTAAGAACCAGCACTTAAAGAAAATCTGCCACAAATTCTTTAGCGACATTTCCTTGGACTCTTGGCATAACTAATAGTCTATGATGTTGTTTGAAGGTTAATACACAATACTTTAATTTTCCCTGTACTGAATGACCTGATCCCAATTGTTATGTTACACAATGCCGCTCCCACTAAAAACAAGTTTTTTTTTGGAAACCATAACCTTTTGCACTGAGCACAGGTCAGAAGAGATATTACCTTTGTTCTCAAAGATCTGAGTTGACATTGTCTTTCCAAATAGTGCCCAATTCAAGATAAATACCAGAGGTAACTTAGTACTATAATATCCACTCCAAATCATGAGCATCAGAAGAACAACAAAGCGAAACACTGAGCAGCACAGCTTTCAAAAGGTCAGAGAAAATGATGCAAAATAAATGATGGTTCAAGCATCAATGCCAATTTTCTCTTGTATAAGATGGTAGCAGTACTGAAAGCACCTTGTCTATCACAGGCACAGAAAGGCAAATAAGTATTTAAAGGTCAACTTCAAAAACTCAGTAGTACACAAGGTTACAGCACAGAATGCAGTCATTCAATTCATTCTAACCCGTACCAGCTTTATGCTGGAGCAACTGAATCCAATCCAAACCTATCACATTGTCTCTCTCATGTAGCTCTGTATCTTCCTCTGCTTCAAATATTTATTTAATTTTGTTTCATGACATACAATGATCCATGCAACAAAACATTCCATGCTCCTCCATTTGAGCAGTTTCTTCTAGCCTCTCGTCTCACTCTTATGATGTTAAATTCATTAATTATCCATGGCTGACTACCTAGTTTCTTCACACTCAATCAAGCAGCAAACTCATTATTTTAAACGCGTCTAATATATCTTCTCTTGGTCTTCACTTCATGGCTAAAAATAATCCTTGTATTTCAAGAATCTTCTTAACAATAATTTCTCAAGCATGGTATCATTTTGGCGAACCTACTCTGTGGAATCATCAAGGCTTCAAATAGCCTTTTTTTAAAAAGAACATATGATTTAAGAGTACCTGTAGGTCATTTGGCATCTCAAGCCTGCTTCACCATTTAACAGCATTATATTGATCTGATTGTACATGCAACTCCACTTTGCTGCCTAACCAAATGCCCTTCAACTCCCTCGTCAATCAAGAATCTATCTCGTTCAGTCTAAAATTAATCTCATATCCTGCCTCCACTGCCCTCTACAGAAAATAATTCTACACACTCACAGACAGAAAAAAATTCTACTAATCTACACCTTATATGGAAGGCCCCTTATTTTTAAACTATCTTCCCTAGTTCTAGTCTCTTTACACAAGGAAAGCCAGCCTTCCAAATCCCCCCAGGACCTTATAGGTTTCAGTGACATCATCTCTTATTTTTCTGAGGTCCAACGAATACAGGCACATCTTTACTCATAACCCTTTCATCACAGGAAACAATCACGTCAAACTTGAATGAAATGTTTCGAACATTACAATAACCTTTTTTAAGAAACAAGAGCAAAACTGTATACATTACCTCCAGATATGGTTTCAACAATACCACATACTTTCCTAATTTTGTATTCCAATCCCCATCCTATAAACAACATTCCATTTGTCTTCCTAATCACTTGTACCTGCACACTAACTTTGTGATCCATGTGCCAAGAAACCCAGGCCCCTTTGTACTACAAAGGTTTACAAGTTTTCTCCATTTAAATAACATGCTGCTCATGCCAAATTAAACTTCTTCTGCCAATCTTTTGCTCACACACAATTTAAATCCGTCTCTCTACTCCTCACTATTTACTTTCCTACCTTTCTTTGTGTCATTGGTATATTTAGCAGTCATACATTTGGTCCCTTCTTCCAAGTCATTTACATTTTTCACAAATAGTTGAGGCCATGACCTCTAACCCTCCACAGCTAGCCAACCCAAAAATGACCCATTTATCCCTCTCTGGTCTTTACTTCAAATTTCATAGATAACAAACTCCAGATGATGCACTGTCTGTACTCTAAAATCATTACGCCTCCATGTGCCTTTTGTTCAATGACACTTTTGACCTCTAACCTTCCTCATCCTCTAACCTGTCTTTCTGTTTCTTTCTGTTCCACTCTCTCACCCCCTACCAACCAACCAACCAACCAACCTCCAAGCCTCTCTACAGCAATAAAAGCCAACACATTTCCACCTTCTGCAGTTCCAAAGTAAAAAGTCATATTGGACTCAAAACATGAATTGTTTCTCTCTCCACAGATAGTGCCAGGCCAGCTGAAATTCTCCAACATTTCCTGTTTCATTTCAGATCTTCAGCATCTGCAGTATTAATTCATACACTAATCCTCGATCCATGATACTATACCCCTAAAAATGATCTCTTATTTTGTTTGGTAACCTTTGATGTAGCACCTTATCAAATGCCTCTGGAAATCTAAATACACTTCTACTTCTACAGGACCCCTTTATCCACATTCCTCAGAAAACTCTCATAAATTGATCAAACATGATCTCGTCTTTATTAGATTACGTTTACTCCAACTAATTACATTAGGATTTACTAAGTGTCCCGCTTTAACCTCCTTAATACCAGATTCTAGCATTTTCCCTATGGCAGATATTAAGCAAACTGACCCAAATCTAAGATAACAAGGTGTAGAGCTGGATGAACACAGCAGGCCAAGCAGCATCAGAGGAGCAGGAAGGCTTGACGTTTCGGGCCTAGACCCTTCTTCAGAAATGGGGGAGGGCAAGGAGGTTCTGAAATAAATAGGGAGAGAGGGGGAGGTGGATAGAAGATGGATAGAGGAGAAGATAGGCGGAGAGGAGACAGACAGGTCAAAGGGGTGGGGATGGAGCCAGTAAAGGTGAGTGTAGGTGGGGAGTTAGGGAGGAGATAGGTCAGTCCAGGGAGGACGGACAGGTCAAGAGGGCGGGATGAGGTTGGTAGGTAGGAGATGGGGGTGGGGCTTGAGGTGGGAGGAGGGGATAGGTGGGAGGAAGGACAGGTTAGGGAGGCGGGGACGAGCTGGGCTGGTTTTGGGATGCAGTAGGGGGAGGGGAGATTTTGAAGCTTGTGAAGTCCACATTGATACCATTGGGCTGCAGGGTTCCCAAGCGGAATATGAGTTGCTGTTCCTGCAACCTTCAGGTGGCATCGTTGTGGCACTGCAGAAGACCCAGGATGGACATGTCGTCTGAGGAATGGGAGGGGGAGTTGAAATGGTTCGCGACTGAGAGGTGCAGTTGTTTAGTGCGAACCGAGCGTAGGTGTTCTGCAAAGCGGTCCCCAAGCCTCCTTCTGCAAAGCGGTCCCCAAGCCTCCTAGTCTCCTCCCTGTTTTGAATAACCATTGTTTTTATAAACGTATCCTGTCCTTTTTACTCATCTGTCCCATTTGTGCTGTCCGCCTTGCATCTGTAGCAGCAATCTAGCCTCAGACTCAGAACATTGTGGGTTCAAAGCCCACTCCAAAATATTTAAGCACATCATTAAAGTTAATGCTGTAATACTGAGGGAATGCTACAATGTCAGTGTCTTCTGGATGAAACTACAAATAGATCTAAGTAGGAAATAGCAATCCCTCCATCAATATACTAAAACTATTAACCTGGAGAGTTACTTTACAGCTACTTGCGGAACCTTGCTATGCACAAATGGACTGATGACTTTCCAATCATTACAACAGTAATTACAATTCGGTAAATACTTTATTAGCTGTGATGTGCTTTGTAACACTCCAAGATCATAAAAGATGCTGTATACGTACATACAGTACTGCTCATATCTTCAGGGTATCATGAACAATGTGTGATCATCAAGGTCTCTCAATTGATCTACATGGATGCGTAACTATCAAACTGGTGTACTGTTCTCTGACCACTTATGCTGAGATGGCATGGGCTCAGTAGAGGGATGAATATGGGTGAGGGGCTTGGGTGAAGGGTGAAGGGTGAAGGCAGCAAGCTTAGGCAGAGAACAAGTACATAACAATGATGTCAGCAGTGGGAAGAGCCATGAATGTACTGGCTAATGGAGTTAGTATCTAGTAAGTATGCATAAGCTATCCTGTGCAGCAGCAAGGAGATACTGTTAAATGTACATTACCGAGCAATTTACATTAAATTATCTTTAACTTTCTATTAATTCTGTGAATCTGCATATACTTTCCTAAAACAATTTAATTCCTTATCCTGTGCACCAAATTTGATAAGTAATCATCAGCAAATTCTAACAGTGTTCCTGTTTCCCAAGTCTAAATCAACCAAAATTTCACAGGATACAAAACTGCTCCCAGCATTAACTCCTAGAACACACCATTTCCAACTCTTACCAACTGGTAGCCAGCTTTCTAACCAGACAGCTATACTTGCACTTAGATCAGTTGCCTGAATTTTACTATCAACATTTTGAGACACTCATTTTTTAAGATATTTCTGAAAAGTCATATATATTACCTCTACAACATTCCCTTCAGTTACACGTGACTTGCTTTTAACAAATCCACACAAGTTACTCTTGTCTACTCGTAATTTGAAATTTTGTAACTCAGGGTTAATAAAACAGAGGGAGGTCAGTAGCTGACAAGGTTCACTGATACACATCATAATGCTCAGGTCCTGTTGCAATTTATTCAGCTCTTCTTTATCCTGAAGCACGGGTGCTTCCATAATACTCCAAAAAAACTGGGAGACAACAGTTTACACTCAACAAACTGAACAATACCCACCGTTATTTTGCAGACGCCTTGTAACTTTCCAATCTGTTGCTCAATGGTCTGCACGCAAGAGTTGCAGGTCATTCCTTCCACAGATATGTTAATGGAATGCATTTCACCTTTCTTGTCCATTTGTCTTTGGTATTCACATCACTGAAAAATGTAAATAACAAGGCAGCCTAGCAAATGAACCTCAAAAAATACTGATTGCAAAAACTTCTGAAGGTATACAAAGATAAAAAACTCAGTAAAGATTAAAGTGTAGATCCCTTACTGTTAGGAACAGGGTAAGTTATAATGGGGAACAAAGAAATGGCAGACCAACTAATTACACATTTTGGTTCAGTCTTTGCAAAGGAGAACACAAATAATCTCTCAAGTGTTGGGGAATACAAGGTACAGACAGAGCGGCGAAATGAAATAAATTAGAAGGCAAATGAGTTGAGGAAATTGATGGGGTTAAATGTTAAACTTCCATGGGCCGATAATCTACATCCCAGCATATTTAAGAAAATGACCCTAGAAATACGGGATGATCATCTTTTAATATTCCATTGACTCGAACAGTTTCTATGGACGAACGTAGCTAATGTAACTTTTAAAAAAGGCAGAGAGAAAACAGAATTACAGACCAGTTAGCCCGACACTGATTGGAGGCAAAGTGCTAGAGATTTAATGGAACACTTGGAAAATATTAGCAGGGTCACAGAGAGTCAGCACAGATTTACAGAGGCAAACATCATGTTTGACAAATCTACGAGAATTTTTCAAGGATATAACTAGCAGAGTTGATTGGCGGTGGGGACAGTGGATTTACTTGTACTTTCAAAAGTCTTTCAATGAGGTCCCACAAAAGAAATAAGCACGTAAAGTTAAAGCACATGGGATTGAAGGTTGTGTACTGACATTGATAGAGAACTAGTCGGTAGACAGGAAACGAGGAGTAGGTACTGTAGGGATTCTATGATTTTATTCTATGAATAAACATGTCTTTTTTTTTTTGCAAGTGAGAGGTATCCCAGCAATCAGTATCTGGACTCCAGCTATTCACAATATAGATTAACGATTTAGGTGAGGAAACTAAATATAACATGCTCAAGTTAGCAGACAACACAAAGCTGGGTGGGAAGTTGAACTGTGAAGAGGATGCAGAGATGCTTCAGTGTGATATGGACAAGTTGAGCAAGTGGGCAATTGCATAGCAGATGAAACATCATGCAGAAAAACGTGAAGTTATCCATTTTGATAGCAAAAAAGGCAGATTATCTAAATGGCAAGAGATTGGCAAAAAGGGATGTGCAACAAGACCTGGGTGTCTTGAACATCGGTTGCTGAAAATAAGCAGGTAAGTGCAGCAGGCAGTGAAGACAGCAAACAGTATTTTGGTCTACAAAGTGAGAGATTTGAGTACAGGGCCAGGGATGTCTTGCTGCAATTATACATGTCTTGGTGAGATCACACTTGGGAGTAATATGTGCAGGTTTTGTCTCTTTATCTGTGGAATGTTCTGTCTCTGGAGCAAGTGCAACAAAGGTTTACCAGACTGATTCCTGGATGGCAGGACATATGAAGAGAGACTGGATCAGTTAGATCATATTCTCTGGAGTTTAGAAGAGTGAGGGGATCTCACAGAAGTCTATAAAATTCTAATAGAACTGGACAGGGTAAATGCAGGAAGAATATTCCTGATTGCCAGGGAGTCCAGAACCAGGACTCACAGTCTAAGGATATGGGATAGACCATTTGGGACTAAGAAGCAGAGAGATTTCTTCACTCAGAGTGGTCAGCCTGTGGAATTATCTACCACAGAAAGCGGTTGAGGCCAAAATGTTTTCAAGAAGGAATTAGATATAGCTTTACGGCTAAAGGTGTCAAAAGGAATGGCCAGAAATCAAGAACAGAGTACTGAGTTGGATGATCAGCCAGGATCATACTGAATGGTACTGCAAGCATAAAGGATCAATGGTGTACTCCTGCATTCTCTACATTTCTGAGACAGCTTCTAAACAATTGAAAGGAAAATATGCTGTGGTATACAATGTTTGCGGCCATATTTCATCATCACAATATGACCTCACAAAAGAAAAATTGAGCAAATGTCTTAATATTTATTTTGGAGTTGAATATGGGCAGATAATGAAATATGAAAATCATAACACATTCAATGACAAACTTCACTCCAATTGGTCATATTGAACTTGAAACATTAACTCTTTTTCATTCACCACAGTTGCTGCCAGGCCCATTGAGTTTCTCCAAAACTCTGGTTATTTCAAGCAACAGCATTTTGCTTTTGTCATTACAATTGGTTCACGCATACGAACACGAATTAACAGCAGAAATAAGCCACTCGCTCCCTTGAGCCTGCTCTGCCATTCAGTAAGACCATGTCCTCTTTATCATTTACTTTCCTATTTATCCTTGTATCACCAGCAAATTTGGCATTTGGTCACTTTATCCAAATCATTTATACAAAATGTAAAGAGGTGAAGTCCCAGCCGATGTTCCTTCTAAACTGTGTGCATGCCACGCAAGGTGATTGCCATCATCATGCTAATCACAGCATGCATTTTCAGTTCAAGAAGGTGATGCTGTGCACAGCAAAAAGAAATCAGAGGAATGCTGGCTCTAGCACTCGTTACATCTTGCCAAATAGAAAATTGTGAATTTATATTTGCTGTTTACTGGTAGTTCGCCAATCTTCCATTCATACCAATCTGTTCCTGCCCCTACATCATGAACTTTTATCTCCCACCTCTGATGTGGTGTCTTTACCACAAGCCTTTTGGAAATCTAGCCACAGTACATGCAATCTTGCCTGGTTACCTTGACCTTTTTGAAGTGCCCTGCAACAATATCTTTAATAGGAGTTTCTTACATAATCACTACGAGTCATGTTATGCCAATTGGCCTATCATTTTCAGCTGTCATTCACCCTTTTTGAATGAGTTACAGTTGGAATTTTACAGTCAAGTGGAACTTTCTCCAAGTCTAGAAAATATCCCAATGAGGTTCTGAGGAAGGATCACTGGACCAGGAATGTGAACTCTGATTTTTTTCTTTACAGCTCCTGCCAGATTTGCTGAGCTTTTCCAGCAACTTCTGTTTTTGTTGCAATGAGGATGCTACCTTCTGAACAGAGGTCGAGTAAACTGCACCTTTTCGCTCTGGAGTTTTGTAGGATGAAGGGTGATCTTATTAAAATACAGAACATCCTGAAGGGGCTGGACGGAAAACAAATGGATGCTTCTGCTAGTCGGGGACTCAGTCTCAGGGTAAAAGGTTGTTCACTTAGCATTGAGCTAAGGAGAAATTTAAAAGAATTGAGAGTCTTGTGTATTCTTTACCCAAGAGGTTTGTGGAACATTCTATCCTTGTCTATATTTATCTAAGGCTAGCATAAGCAGACTTTTGGATTCTCAGAAAACCAAGGGATATGAGAAGCAGTTGGGCAAGTGGAATGGAACTTAAAGTAAATCATGATCGTGTTCAGTGGCAGAACAATCTTGGCAGACCATATGATCTACTTTTGCTTCTATCTTGTCCTCTTGTGCATAGCAAGTTAAACACAGTAAATGTTCAAAGGTACTCTACAGGAGCAGAATTAGACAACATGAGATAGGAATTAAAAACTTGATCTATGTGGCATATATTGCTTATATTCATACTCTCCTCCCTCTTTAGAGAATGGTGTGAAGTGCTGGGAAGATTTTGCAGGTTGATCAAAAACTTGGTTTAAGCCACATGATGCTCCTCGTGGTCAACAAGCTTTAGAATGGGACTTGAACATTAGGCCTTCCAGCTCACAGTGACTCAGTGGTTAGCACTGCTGCCAGGGACCCAGGTTTAAATCCAGCCTTAGGCGGTGTCTGTGTGGGTTTCCTCTGGGTGCTCCAGTTTCTTCCCACAGCCCAAAGATGTGCATGTTAGGTGGATTGGCCATGCTAAATCGTCCACAGTGTCTGAGAATGGTGGATTAGCCATGGAAAACGTGGGGTTACAGGGATAGGGTGGGATGCTCTTCAGAGGGTTGGTATGGACCCGATGGGCCGAATGGCCTGCTTGCACACTGCAGGGATTCCATGATCTCAGGAAGTAGGAGCTGGAAGGCTCCTGGAGAATATGAAGAGAACCTTCAAGAATGTCTATTCAACAACTGGTAAATGATTAAGACTAACCATGCAATTACCATAAAAATATGCAGTATTGTTATAAACTAGTGGCTTTACTTACTTCAGTGTCTCTGAAGCAGGATTTTAGATTTTGGCTGTCCTCAAATTTTCTTCCTATCTTTCTCATTCTTACCTCAACCCCTCCCTCTCCCCAGAGGGTGGTCAATCCAATCTGAACAGAAGGTTGGAAAACTTAAACTAAGGCTATGAATTAATAATTACTATGAACAAAGATACCTTTGAATGCAAGTTCACAGTTCCTTGAAAATAGAGTCACAGGTAGACAGGATTGTGAAGGCGGCGTTTGGTATGCTTGTACTTATTGGTCTGTGCATAGAGTGTAGGAGTTAGGTGGTCATGTTGCAGCTGTACAGGACATTGGTCAGGCCACTTTTGGAATACTGCATTCAATTCTGGTCTCCCTGCAATAGGAAGGATGTTGTTAAACTTGAAAGGGTTCAGAAAAGTTTTACAAAGATGTTGCCAAGGTTGGAGGGTTTGAGCAATAGGGAGACACTGAATAGGCTGGGGCTATTTTCCTTGGAACATCAGAGGCTTATAGAGGTTTATAAAATCATGAGGGGCACAGATAGGATGAATAGTCAAGGTCTTTTCCACAGAGTAGGGGAGTTCAAAATAGAAAGCATACGTTTAAGCTGAGAGGGGAAAGATTTAAAAGGGATGTAAGGGGCAACTTTTTCATGCACAGGTGGTGCGTGTTGGAATGAACTGCCAGAGGGAGTGGTGGAGGCTGATACAATTACAACATTTAAAAGGCATCTGCATGGGTACATGAATAGGAAGAGTTTAGAGGAATATGGGCCAAATGCTAGCAAATGGGACTAGTTTAATTTAGGATATCTGGTCAGCATGGATGAGTTGGACCAAAGATTGTACTGTACATCGCTGACTCTGAATTATGATATAATCACAATTTGTTCTCAACAAAGTCATTAGCTTTCTGATAATACTTTTTAAATAACACTTTCATTTATTCAATAACTAAAAAAAGTAAAGTAATGCTACAGAGAATAACAGCCTGTGAGCGACTCACTTTGAGCAAGAGGAGGGATCGAGTGGTATACGCATTTTCTTAAAAGCTTGCGTTGAACACCAACATTCAATTTAGTCCAGGTATACATCATACATAAATCATCTAAACACTTCAATTAAATTCTACACTGATGTAACAAGTTAAGGCTCACCAGATGTGCTATTATTCCTCGACACCACCTATACTATTATAAGCTCTCACCATAATAACAATACATTTTCACCACAAGTTCACTTGTGTCATTTTCTTGCTTGCCATACAACAGCTATATTATTACAACTTTCAGTTCTATAAAATAGCTCACCATAAATCTATATAGATAGTGACTTACCACTTTGTTAGGCACTATGTCAGCTAACGTACTTAATTGTTTTCTTGTCTTTGAATCACTGGGATGTAGATCCAAGTCTAAGTCCATAGCACAACCACATAATTTAGGCTGACACTGGTCTGTAGTGTTGAGAGTGTGCTGCACCACCCGTGGTGCTATCATTTGGAGGTCCAAAATGGATAGAATCTGCCTCAAAAGCGATGTCCCTCATAATGAAAAGTGCAAGAATCATCACATCAAGATCATAGAATCCATACAGTGTGGAAACAGGCCCTTCGGCCCAATAAGTCCACACGACCCTCAGAACATCCCACTGAGACACATCCCCCTACAACCCACCTAACCTACACATCCCTGAACACTATGGGCAATTTAGCATGGCCAATCCACCTAAAACTGCACATCTTTCAACTGTGGGAGAAAATTGGAGCACCTGGAGGAAGTCCAAGCAGACACAGGGAGAATATGCAAATTCCACACAGTCACCTAAGGGTGGAATTGAACCCAGTACCCTGTCGTTGTGAAGCAGCAATGTCTAGCAGCAAAGTTGTAGTACCCATGAGTAGTCAGGAACTAGGAGAAAAAAGCCTTTAAACTATAAAAACAGAAAAAACATAAGCTTTCCTCTACAGGACAATTTAGGGAAAATAAAATGTAAATCTGCACTGTAAATCGTTTAGTCTTCATTTCTCAGTTAGAGCCAACTGCAAACATCAGGCTTCTTTTCTCCACTGCCAATTACCTTCTTAAAACACTTTGCTGTCCCTCCATCAAGTTATAAAGATGGGGATCACCCTTTACTCAGCTGCCTTTCCACTCAGCCAAGGCTCAGCGCAGCCTAGTCCTGAACTACGTATTTTTTCCGTTAATTTCTGCAGCTCCCTAATAACACACTCAAAATTTATCTCGTTCATGTGACTCACTTCTGCTTCTCTCCCCAAAATCCCACGACCTCACATTCAGCCATCTGGGCTGCAAGCTTTGAAATACCCAATATTAAACTGCCCGATTCTTTATCTCATTTTTTTTAAAAAAGACCCTTCTTAAAGCCTATCCCTTTGATCAAGCTGCTAGTCAGCCCCCTCACGTCTCCTGTGTCAGTGTTTGTGTGGTTATATTTCTGTGAAGAATCTTGAGATGTTTTTGTACATTATAAATACAAACTGCTTCAAAGTCACTAATAATCCAACTCACTTCCAATACTAGCTTTCCTTTAACACACAACTTCAAAATACATCTGCACCAAGTTTCCACAAAATATTCAATTCCTACGCAAGAACCTTCGTTCTGTCTGATAGTGTTATTTCTCATTCTGTTTCCTGGAATTTGCCTGATTCTATTGAAGATATTGGATTATTATTAATTCCTTTGTTACGCTGTGTTTGTTTTCATGCTGATCCATGTTAGGACCTGTTGTTTATTTAAAAGATTCCAAGGGATTGAAGCTTTAACTCGTTTCTCCCTCACCGTTGCACAAAAAGCACGTTTTTTTTGTAACTTATAAAAGAAGAAAAGCTTTATATTTAGACTACAGCATCACCAGCTGCTGCTCACCTTAGGCCTCGACCGAGCACTTCACTTCTTCCCGCTAACGACACACCACCAAAGACGACTACTACCTCCGGAACGGATCATCGCCACCAAAGATTCCCGGAAGGATGGGATTGAAGAGTGGAACCCGCGCTGCGCATGCACACGGATGACTTTCGTGGCATGGGGCGGGACTAGATGGTGCTGACGTCACCGAACATGGAGTGTCAATCAAAGGATGGAAGGGGAGGAGGGAGAGGACAATGTTGGATAGTTCTTCATAAAAGTATAGAGGGGTCACTGGGTACAGTAAGCACAAAAACACCAACAAAAGTGTGTTTTCAAATAACGCTCAACAAATGAAAAAAGACTAAAAGTCAACATGAAGGTTGCTTAGAAAATGAATTAATTATAAGGCTAATTACCGGAAGGTAGTGGCAGACACTGTGCTGCTACTCAAGGCTCCCACAAGCAAAGAAAACATTGAAATCAGGATCAGAAGCAGGCCATTCAATCCTTCGAGCCTCCTCCACCATTCAATAAAATCATCTAATTTAGTACCCTAATCCCACTTTATCCCTTTTTCCTTTGATCTCTTTAGCCCTAAAAATATACAGTAAATCTTCTCTCTCAGCAATTTCACCTATCTGTGCCAAAAAGTAAGCAGCAACACAATTCATCACCTGCGGGCAAACCCACTTATCGACAAAGTTTAAACTATTTCTAATGGGCTCCGTGCTCGCCAATTTCATTGTTCAGTAACAACACCGTCACGGAGACAGAGGAATGTCTGTAACTGACTCCTTCAATGTTTTGCTTTCAATGGCTTTCTGTTGCTGACAATTGCTTAGGTTTGCTACTCTGGGTGGAGAAGTTCCTTCTCTTCTCAGTTTTAATGCCACTCCCCCCTCACAGCTCAAAGATGTGGGTGGTCACTCTAGCCAGGCTCAGGAGCTAGATCCACTAAGAGGCTCTCTACTGTCCTCAGCACTGGATGGCCAGAGACTATAGGAGTATGAGGCTAAAGTGGAATCGAACATTGAGGGACAATTCGGTCAATTAAATAATGGAACAAGAGCTGCAACCTCTCACACTCCAACTGATGTGGAATCTAGACTCCATCAAGCACCTAAAGTTACTGACAGCCTGGGAGTCAGTCAAGTATCTAATGAATTTAATAATTCATGCCAATTGTACAACATGTTCATTAATGGTGTGGGATTGTAGGTTTTTGCACACTTAATATTCAATGTCCCTTCAAAGCAAGTTTGTGAATGAACACTCAAAACTTTGGAAATAATGTTCTAGTGCTGAGGCCTTCAGGGAATTTGCTTAAATTGATTTGATCTGAATATCAAAACTATCGCTTAATCCCATTGACTGAAATTAGTAAAACATTCCAGGGTATAGACTATTCAGACAAGTACAGTAGACAAATGAAGTGTGCAGCTTCATATATCTAGGAGACTGGGGAGAAAAATGAACAATATGTAACAAAACAGAAACAAAGAATAATGGATGCTGGAACTTTGAAACAAAAACAAAAAATTGATGGAGAAACTCAACATGTCTGGCATAATCTGACAGGGAGCAAAGTCAACATTTTTTGATTTGAGTGACCCTTCTTCAGAACATTTTTCTAAGCCTCAGTCATAATAAAAATAAAACCTATAGCTGAAGGTATGCTTTGTAGCATAGGTGAATCAACAAAACAACTTGTAGGAGGATGTTGTCATCAGCTACAAAGGGGTACTAAGAAGAACATAATGAAATGGTGTCACACAGTCATGTTACAAAAGGCGTCTATGTCAACTTTATTAGTAATGTTTTGGGAAATTGTGTAGATTTTGGAAATTTACAATACTTCAAAGATGATGCAGAGAAAGACAATAGGAGATTGCAGAAAAATTGGTTAGATCAAGGACTTTTTTACAACAATGGGGTGATAATAGCTGTTTTGAAAGGTAGGAGTACAGTACCTAACAGACAGAACTATTTGCAAATCAGTTACCTTAACAGCAATACTTTTAGATCCACAGAAGTCCATATTTTTTGATTTATAAATAAAGCTGTTAAACATGGCAGAAATATGAAGAATAGAATGAAATATTACTCCCAGCTGTCCAAGAGTAATCCCATTATTAATGGCTTCTAAGTCAACATTCAGTCAAGTCATGCATCTGTTCAGAGTAGCACATGAATACAGCACTTTTTCAGGATATAACATTTTCACAAATGTAAAAGTATCTGATAATGGGTTCTGGGAGTGATTAGCAATCATTTGTGCAGAATGCAGTAAATCTGAAGTAGCTATCAAAAAAGTCTAATCAGTTAAAAAGGTTACGTCTCAAGGATGTTTGATTGCAAATCTAAACAGGCTACTTTATCCTTGTATAATTTTCTGGGAGAGTTACATTAAGAACATTGTCAACAGCCCTTTGCAAAAGATGCATTGACATTGGGCAGTTCACCATTTGAAAAGGGATATTTTGTTTTGTACGGAGCCATGGTTCACCCATGGTAGTGTTTCTGAACATTGTGCTTGAAATATTTGAGTAAAGTCCTGAAAATGTGTCCCAAACCAGAGACCATATCCCTAACTGTACAAGGGATAAAGAATGTAAGCTACAGGAACAATGTTGTTAAACTTGAGAGGATACTGAATGGATTTACAAGGATGTTGCCAGAATTGGAGAGTTTGACCCCACTCTGAGAACTAAAACCAAAACACCCAAAGGAGAGCACCTTAGCCCACAACCTGAAAAAGGAGTGTGAAAAGTGTAACCTGCTTTCCAGCAACTTCCAAGTGTTAAATAAAATAAATCCCTGATACTCACTTTAAAATCAAAGAGTAACAATTTACTTACCTAACAGTGAACAAGTTAACTAAACTATTAACAAAGCAAATAAAGCCTTTCTAATTACTAACTATTTGCAAATAAAGCAAGATACTAATGGTATGCTGTACCAATAAATACAAGTTCCATTTATATTTAAAAAAATTAGTCTCTCGAATTATAGCCAGGTTACATGTCTCCCAGAATGTTCTGTGCCTTCTCTGTCAATTGTTCTGTCAGGAATATTAACTAGTTGTGCTGTTGGTACCATTGTTATTTAGATGGTGCTTTCTCTAAGACATAGAGGATGCTGTGAAAGCCAGCGATTCTCTCTCGAGAGCTGAGGGCTGTAAACTCTGACGGATGGCAGCCAGCTCTGGGGTCTTTGTCCAACTGTCCCCTTCTTTTTATACCCTTGATGACCTATCAATATTTCATACAATAGGATTGGTCCTATGTTGTCAAAACCATCAGACTTAAATGTAATAGTTTTTGGGATCTAAGTACCTGGTTCAAATTGATTGGCTTGGTAAAAACTGCAGCTTGGCCTGCTAACCGTACGGCCTTTCAATACAAATGTTTCAATATGGATGCTCTCTGTGTACTTGCAAACTTTCAAGCTGCTGTTCATAGACATCCATTTTAAATCTCTAAGCACAGAAAAAGCACATGATCTCTTAAAGGGACCACACAACGTTTTCTCTCAGTACTCTACCCAACTTTCCAACAGTGACCTTATACAGGTTTATGAAATCATGGGGAACATGGGTAGGGTGAATAGCTAAGCTGGTCAAATCAGAGGGTGGCAGAGACTTCACTGAGAAGAATTCGAGGACACAGCGCTGCAGACACCATGACTAGGGAGCAGGTCATGACAGGACACCCTCAGTGATCAACATGAAGAAGAGCATCGAATCAGAGGGTGGCAGAGATGTCACTGAGAGGAATTCTGGGAGATGGCACTATAGTCACCACAACTAGTCTGAATATCGCAGAGGAACTGCTGTCAAGGATACTGGAAAGGTGTGAAAAAAGCAGGGTAGTTGCGGTGGGTGACTTCAACTTTCCTCTTATTGACTGGAACTCCCTTAGACCCAGGGGCTCAGTTGGAGAGCAATTTGTTAGATGTGTCGTGGAGGGCTTTTTGAGACAGTATGTTGACAATCCAACCAGAGAGGAGGCCATACAAGACTTGATATTAGGGAATGAGCCAGGACAGGTGATTGATGTTTCAGTAGGAGAGCATTTTGGGCTTAGTGACCATAACTCCATAAGATTTTGAGTAGTCATGGACAAGGACAAGACTGGCACTTGGGTGAAGATGCTTAATTGGGCAAGGGCCAATTATATCCAAAATGGACAGGAATTGGGGAATGTGAATTGGGAGCAGTTATTTGAGGGCAAATCTACATCTGTCATGTGGGAGGCTTTTAAAGACTGGTTGATTAAAGAGCAGGATGTGCATGTTCCTGCAAAACTGAAGGATAGGAATGGCAGAATTCAGGAACCGTGGATAACAAGGGAAGTTGTAAGCTTAGTCAAAAGGAAAAAGGAAGCATACTATAGATCTAGGCAGCTACAAACTTATGAAGTCCTTGAGGAGTACAGAGAAATTAGGAAGGAACTTAAGCATGGAAATAAGAAGGCTAAAAAGGGCCATGAAATGTCTTTCGCAAACAGGGTCAAGGACAATCCCAAGGCTTTTTATGCATATATTAGAAGAAAGAGGGTAGGAAGGGAAAGAGCAGGCCCACTCGAGGACAAAAGTGGAAAGTTATGTGTGGAGCCACAGGAAGTGGGAGAGATACTTAATAAGTACTTTGTATCAGTATTCACTAAGGAGAAGGACATGACGGATGTTGAGGTCAGGGATGAGTGTATTGAGCGTGTGAATACACTAGAGAATGTCAATATAGTGAAGGAGGAAGTTTTGGGTATCCTAAATTGCATTAAGGTAGATAAGTCCCAAGGGCCAGATGGGTCTATCACAGGTTACTGCGAGAGGCAAGGGAAGAAATAGCTGGGGCACTAGCAGATATCTTCACATACTTTTTGACGACAGGTGAGGTTCCAGGGAACTGGAGATCAGCCAATGGTGTTCCCTTGATTATATAAGGAAGTAGGGATAATCCAGGAAATTATAGGCCGGTGAGCCTGACATCTGCGGTGGGAAAGCTCTTGGAGAAGATACTGAGGGACAAGGTATACGCACATTAGGAAGAAAATGGACTGGTTAGCGACAGGCAACATGGTTTTGTATGGGGAAGGTCATGTCTCACCAACCTGAATGAAGTTTTTGAAAAAGTGACAAAGATA